TAACAATACCACAAAAATAAACCAAGACAGCTTACCTCCCCAAACATTATATCTATTGCGCCGACAACGACTACTTTGACAAGTTCTGCCGTTAATGGAAATGGTAGGTATTTCTTCTCGTAGTCCCTGGAAAAGGTTAGTATGAGGATCTCAGCTTATAATGTCTTTTTCAGAGATACCTCAAATGTTTAAAGAGAGATATGTGTTCCTGAAAAATAGGTTGATTTACAATAAAAGTAAGATAAGGTATAAATATCATATTGGGGATAAATATAATATAAATTCATTGATATATTTAGATGATACTATTTTTTTTTTTCTTGTGATACTGAAGAGTACATGATATATGGTCAATATCAATGTCAAAATAATATTTATCATGGCAATATCCTTAAAAAAAAAAAAATGATAATAATCAATAAGTAAATAATCTTTAGAAAAAGTAAAACGACCATAACCAAACTGAGGAAGATTTTGCCATTTGAAGATGCAGATAAAAAAGAAATCTTTCAAGGAAGAGAGTAAAACCTGGCATGAGAGAGGGGAGGGTGCAGAGAAGGCTAGAAGGATAATTAGCCAGACTGTCAAGCAGGATATAAGATTAGTTATAGATTTAGTTTAGTCTAGTAACTGAACAGTGATCAAAAACTGCACTTGTTTACAGGCACTGACATCAGTAGAAGACAACGCAAAACAATTTTTTAACCAGACCATTTACAAACTCAGATTCAGACATAAGAAAAGCATATTCTCAATTTATGCAATAAGATACCAATTAATCAGCAGACAGATTGGTAAGCCATCCATGGTATCGTCCCTTCTGCTTATGCCCTCATTAAACTATCTTGACACAAAAAATATATGTATCAAAAATTAAATATTACATATATATGTGTGTTATCACTTCATTGACTTAATCTGGTGCCAAAAAATTTAACTGTCCACTGTAGATTTGTTTTGTGATTTTTGTCCTAACAAAAATCACAAATTACTTAGTCATCAAGGAGTCAAAATTCTGTTTTCTTTTTTTGATGCTATAAATATCACTACCACAATTATCATTATCAATATTATCATTGAAATTTTTATCAATACTAATATCAATACGAAATAGGAAATCAAAATATCTCTGTAAATCAAGGAAAAGTGTGAGAGGTGAGATCAGGTAGGACTTGTGACTCATTTGTAGAGCCATCTACATATAAGGGACATTGCTGAACCATCCCATCTGGTTAAGAGAGGCATCTAAATTCCCTTTAGTAGGCAGTGCCACAATATTTGCACTGCAAGTATGTTGGGTAAATGTTCAAAAGGTAATCATTTAGAGGGTGATCATTGTAATGATACAGAATTTCTTTTGTGATTATAATGGCTATAATGCTACATTTGGAACTCCTCATCCAACAAGTTAGACAAAATGAGATGAGATGTTTTGACTATTCAGAACCCCAACTTTGGTGTCTGGGAAATGTTGTCCATCTTGTTAATCTCCCTCTCCTTTGCAGCTGGGCATGCAAGATGAGATGAAGTCATAATTGCATTTGTATGTAAACAATGACAGTTCCAGGCAACCATAAGATACTGATAGGTACTATTAAGGCCCTTATTGGTATTATCAATAGGTATTTTTGTGTTTGTCAGTTGCAGGTATGCTTACCTATGCATTAGAGGAGATACAAACAAAACCTATTCAGAGTGTAAAATAAAGAGATCAATAAGGTAATATTGCTAATATATACTTTTAAACCAGTTGCATTATGGTCATGAAGGGAGGGTTCTGAACATGGTCTAGTTGTCCAGCTGGTCCTGACAAGTTGTCTGGAAGAGCAAGACAAGGAGTTCCGAAAGCAGCATTAGCCACCTGAATTCACACAAAACTTGCTGTGATTTATGACAGACAGCCTACAATTTCAATAGTGGTACTACTAGTACTAGGACTACTAGTACACTAATACTACTAGTGTCAAGTGATCTGCACCAACACCCCCTTTCAGCAAAGGCGACACACCTCCATGACACATACCCTGTGAAGACTGAGCTTTGCCTGGTTTATTTGTTCATAATTCTCTATCTAGCCAGAATGTACAAGACAGTATTTTAATATCTTCTGCTGGTGCTCGCGTGCCAATATGCGAGAGAGAAGCTTCATCTAAATACTTACCATAATATTTACCAAACTTATTATGGACGAATGTAATAGATCCTTACATGTGCACTTTTAAGTACCAATATTTAGGCTCCAGTTGTTTCATTTTTGTAAAATAAGAATAACTTGTCCTCTGCCTACGAAAAGTGTCCTCTTCTACTCCTCCTTGTTTCTCTGCTGAATGGAAGAGAGAACAGTAATTTCTTATCAATAAATCATTCTAACGCCCTAAATTATCTCAAATCTATCGTCTCACATCGTAATGACCTCGCCGGGCTTGGAAATTACCTCTTCCTTAACGCACCCAGAAGACAGCATCGGTCCCCGCCAGCGCCTCGGCCTCGCACGTGGAGTTGTTTACGCTCGTCAGCTGATTCTTCCCGTTTTCTTTTTCCGCGTTTTCTGTTATCATGGGATGGATGACTATTACAAAATTACTTCTTTATTCACAGAGGCTACAAATTACTTTTTACAATATATTTCTTTTACAACATATATTTATTTTTACCAACAACAATCATATTTTTTTTGTCTCTACATTAAAAAAAACAAACAAACAAACAAACACTGCTAGCTAGGGAGATCATAATATGACTCACAATCCATAGCTGAATGATGCAATACCGTACATACAAACTAATAAATATATAGATATAAAGACACAGATAAACAGACAGACGGAAAAAGAAGGAGAAAAGAGAGAAATCTTACAAATAAAAGAACATATGATACATTTATTCCCCTCTTTTTCATCTCGCCCATTAAACCCTCTCGACCAATCAGAACGCGTCGGGACCTGCACCTAATGAGGCTCATTAATTCATAAATTACCCGAGCTCTATCTTCATAAAATTAAGGAACGATTAATGCTTAGAATATATTTCCAAACAACAGAGAGCTATTTAAAAACGATCTCCTATCACAAAATAATGTCCTCGTCATGGTGCGACCTCTTGCAAGCACGTGATTGATCGGTGCAATGTCTGCAACTGCGGAGGTCAAGGGATTTGTTGCATGAGGAAGGGATCTGCAGATGTCGCATTTGTTTTACGGTATTATATGAGACTTTATTTACGTGTTGTTTTAATCCATTAAGTATTAGTTATTATTTTTTTTTATTGTTATAGGATTTTAGAATGTTTTATTCCCTATTTGTGTATAGATTATTAAATTTAATGATTATTGCACAGGGAGAGAAATAATTATGTTTATAATTATGATTTGTAATGATGATAAATTGCCTAATCAATAGTGGGTATTCTTCATAACAGGTTGAATCTTATTATAGAGAAATAGTTAGATAATAGTAGTATATAATATATACATGATTATAGAGGTAAATATATCTTTTTTAAGAGAGAGAAAAAAACAACTGAGTTAGATATTCCATGAAATATAGTTGAAAAGGGGTTCATTAACTGATAGATGGGCTGATGTATTTTTATTTACTGCATTTTTTTTAATGTAGATAAAAAGTTGATTGTTAAAAGTAATGTTGTAAAGATGAAAGCCTATTTTTGAGAATAATGTTATTAGATAAAATGTGCTGGGGTGTGGTAATGGAAATTTAAGAACTAATTCAAGATGTGTTAAAAAAAGAAAGAAAAAATCCTGCAAATAGAAAAAAATCAATAAAAATAATTTGGTATATTAAAAAAAACTGTCACATAATTTATAGTTTATTACTGCTGGAAAGATATGTATTTATTGAAATTTTAAGTAAATCATCAGAACATGATTACACAGAGGTAAAGAAAATTTTTAAAAATGGCTATAAAGAATACATTAATCCACACTTTAAGGGATAAAAACAGAATATAGTAAGGAAAGGAAATCCCACAATAGCAGACGAGTTAGAGCATAGAACTAGTCTGTTTTTATATAATTATTTTTATTTATTTATTATTTATTTTTTAGCCACTGTAGGTTAAGGGAGTGGCACTAGCAGGACAACAAGAATGACATCATCATTGCTTATTTCTTTACTGTTTTGAATATCAAGGACTGCTCCCTTTCCTGGTTTGCTAGTCTGCAAAAAATTCTATTTCCATTTTTCATCAGGAACCCAGTTTAAAGTTAAAGTTAAAGAATTCTTGTCGAGATCCCTGCTCAAAATGCCTGGATCAATAAGCAAGCCCAGATCAGTGACTCCAGACATGTGGAAGTCTTTTATGTACAGTAGGAATTGTTATAGGACCTGGAGAGATATTAACAACCAGTAAATATGGGAAATAAGACAATAAATGGAGATCATATTCTCACTTTACATGATTAAAAATGTTTCACCCTTAATTCATAGTTATTCTACTTTTTTTTTTTTTTTTTTTTTTTTTTACAAGTATATTTGTTCTTAGTGTCTCTACAGGACACCACCTGGTCCTTAGCTAGTGCTCTATGCCACAGTCTTGTGTCTCATCAAGGACTGCTGTCTTTCCTGGTTTGCTAGTCTGCAAAAAATTCTGTTTCCATTTTTCATCAGGAACCCAGTTTAAAGTTAGCATGTCTACCCTAACCAATAGCATTTCTAGAAGGGGTTTGGTTGGTTAAGAATTCTTGTAGAGATCCCTGCTTAAAAAGCCTGGATCAATAAGCAAGCCCAGATCAGTGACTCCAGACATGTGGAAGTCTTTATATATAGTAGAAATTGTTATAGGCCCTGGAGAGATATTTACAACCAGTAAACATGGGAAATAAGACAGTTGCAATAAATTGTGATCACATTCTCAATTTACATTATTCAAAAACGTTTCACCCTTAATTCATACAGTTATTCTACTTTATGTGTGTTTTTCTTTCTTTTTTTTCTTTTTTTTTTTACTATACATAGCCTGATTGATTGTTTCAGCATACCATTATCCTTTTTTCCGATAAGGGCTTGGGAATAGCATTGGCCAAAAGTGAAGGAATATTTGTACCTACATTGGGACAACAACAGGTTAACAAGTGAAGGTAACATTAACAGACACATTTCTAACATATAAGTATTTGTTGGGTATTTGCATTTGTTTGAGTAGACAGCAACTGAAATGTTACTTTTCCTGATTAGGGCATGTAGATTCCAACTGAAATAACTACTAATTTGTATTTTTTGTTGCGTAATGAATAACTTGCTACAGTAAAGGTAAAAAAGATAGATACAGATCAACACAGAAATGTTTTATTTGCCCATTGACTATTCATGTCCACACCTATGACACATAACATTAATGGTCAGGGTAGCCAGTTGTTAGGGCTGGATAAGGCTTATTGCAAGCTTTACGTGTGTATGGGTAATGTGCCTGCATTTAAATTGTTTATAAATCATGAAGGTAATTTCTAATAATTCATTTTAATTTTATCACCAAAATCATTTTCTTTTTCAACTTGAAGAGAGGAATTAAAGTTTACATTGTAATAACTGATGATTCTCAATAGTGTGGTTTATATTGTTAATATTATTTATATTTATTTTTATTGACTTCAATTTTCTTTTATATGCAGAGATTCAGAGTTAATAAAGAAACAAGGAAATTCATCATAGGAGAAGATTAGATGTTTTGTAATTTAAAATGATTGAATGCACATTTAGCAATAATAACATATAATTATTTTCTATTCTTAGAGACAGATGAACAACAATGGAAGAACAGAAGCCTCCAATCAATAGCAAGACAGCCGTGGAGAAGAACTCGAACATCCATACTCATCACACAGAAAGTGACAAGTTCCAACCTCATGACACATATGAGGGCCAGTGCCGACCTTCTCATGGTTTAGTAATAAAGAGGGAGAAAGATGAAGTAGAGTACAAGGAAACCCCAGAATGCAGTGAGAGCAATTTACTTACTATACAAGGAGTCGTTAATATGAAGACAGAATATAGTGGAGTGGAGAGGTCTACTGAAGACATCAGAAACTGTAACAATACCATTAGTGTTATTAGTCTGTCCTGTCTGAAGATCAAAGAAGGGAAGTTAGATGGTCTTAACTTGAAGGCTGAAGGTATCATTGGGAAGAACAATGGTTATGACAAAGATCAAATGCTTGGAGGTCAGAATAGCCTTGGTCTGCTCAATGCATTTCACTGTAGGGAAGCTTTTGTTATTCCATTAAGCTGCAAAAATCATGCCATTACATGTGCTGATATCAAACCATTTAGGTGTAAGGAATGCAGGAAAAGGTTCAAGAGTATGTACAGTTTGAGAAAACATACAAGGAGTCATACATCAGAGAAGTGCATAGAATGTGGTAGAGGATTTCTTAGCAAGAGACAATTAGCTAAGCATGTCAGCTTGTGTGTAAAACCATACCAGTGTAAGGAGTGCAGTGAGAAATTTTGCTACGTTGGGAATCTTTTGGCCCACATGAAATATCATGGAGTCGAAAACCCATATAGAGTGGAAAAACTAAGAACCGACTCTGAAGAATCCATTAATGTAAGACGGGCTAGAAAAATAATAAGCAAAGAAGTATTTGGGTGCTCTGAATGTCCAAGAACTTTTCAGCGAAAGTCAAACCTTCATTTTCACAAGCTGACTCATGCTGGTATTAAACCACATGAATGCCAAGACTGTTTTAGGAAATTTAATAGGAAAACCGACCTTTCAAATCATAAGAGATGGTGTGAAAAACCCATAATGTGTAAAATATGTAGACAAATGTTTATATACATAGGAAACTTAATAAAACATATGGAGATTCATGAAAAAGAGTTTGTGGAAAAAGGAAACATTGGAATGCAACAGTCCCTTTGTGTCCAGTGAAGGAGTGACCCATAAAGAGTTCAGCTGTGTAAAAAGTATGATTCACATAGAGATCTCCAGAGTATAAGCATATTCAGATTCTTCTGTTTAGTATTTTACGTGCAGTTAGAGAAGAAAAATTGGTGTTTCTTTGAAAAGTATGTCATGTCTGAGTAAGTATTTCAGTGCAATAAATGTAGGATCTCAAATGAAGGGTGTTGATAGTTTGTTAAGTGTATTGCAAAACATTACAGAGAGGATGATATATATATATATATATATATATATATATATATATATATATTATATATATATATATATATAGATAAAAATGAAAATAGGAGGGAAGTAAATATATAAATATTTATGAATTATGTATTCTTGTTTTAGTATTTATATTACCAGAAAAAAGAAACATTTTGTATTAAATAGATTATTAGTATTGATAGAGCTAATTATTCATATGAAGTTTACTGAAGGTTTTTCACAGATAGACCTATGATAATTTTTACTTTATCTTTTAAGAAAATAAAGAAATATTATTGTTACTTATCAGTTTGTGGTTTCATATAAGATTATCTTTTCATAATCAGTTGACAGACACAGACACACTGAGAGAGAGAGAGAGAGGGA